CCAATAATTCCTCAGCTGGTATTGGGGCTTCTTTATTTCATTCTGAACTTTGAGGAACTCTTAGCCCAGGTTGGCATCATAGTCATGATCCTCTTGTCTCTCCATCTGTGGTGCTGGGAATACAGGTGTGCCCACACATCTGGCTCCTAAGTTGGTTTTGTTCTTGTTTTCTTTCTTTAAGCCCTGGCTGAAGAAAATGTTACTATGCAGGTTAGACATAATGCCTACTCCTTTAATCCCAGCACTCAAGAGGCAGAGGCAGGGAGATCTTTGTGAACTCAAGGCCAGCCTGGTCTACATGGTGAGTTCCAGGCCAACTGGGGCTCCAGAAGACCCTTTCTCAAAAAAACCAAAAAAAAAAATAATAATAATAATAAATCTTACTATGCAGACTAAGCTGACCTCAGAGTCACAGAGATCTGCCTGCCTTTGCTTCTGTAGAGCTGGGTTTAAAGACTTGTGCCACCATGTCCAGCACTAGCTACTCAGGTTGTTAAAAGGAAACCAGTGGTGTCCCTTTCAGATTCTGCTTGGACTGTCCCAAACAGGATTTCGGTAGCACAGGGAATGTGGGGAGTGCAGAGCACATTTCCGCTGCTTCGTTTGAGGGCATTGAGACAAGTCCAGGTCCTTTTCCGCTCAGGTCCTGGGTGCCCACTCCCAGTGGGGTTTGGAGGAGCAGTGGCAGGAATCAGATGGGACAGTGGGGACCTGGAGCCCCTGTGGGTGTTCGTAGGAGGCTGCTATTCTTTGTAGCTGCCAACTTCAGAGTTCAGACTGAGGTCTCCATTATTGACAGAGCAGGGACTTGAGGTGTGATTGGGTCCTTGGATGAGTGAAAAGGAGTTTCTCACCCTGGCTGAAAGGCTGTCTTTCTATGTACTCCCTCAGGAAAAGTTCCCTGCAAAGGTCTCAGCATGAGTTTGCAGGCCCCACCCACACTCCTGGAGCTGGCAAGTCAGAGCCTGGTGAGGAATGAGGCCTTGGACCCCTCCTCACTACAGGACCTGCCCATGGACTTCTTCCTACCGATTTTCTTGGAGGCTTTCAAAGGGGGACAGACACATGTGTTGAAGTCAATGGTACAGGCCTGGCCATTCCCTTCCCTGCCCTTGGGGTCACTGATGAAGACACCCCATCTGGAAACCTTGCAAGCCATCCTAGATGGGCTTGCCATGCTGCTTGCCATGAAGGATCGCCCCAGGTAAGGGAGACCCAGGGAGCCTAGAGGGCAGGCCCAGGAGTCCAGGAAAGAGAGAGCTGAAATCATACAGAAAAGAGGTGGAACTAAGAATTTGGATGGTGCCAGTGAAAAGGTTTATGAGGCCTGGGTCATCGCCAAGCAAGGAGGGACAGTGCACCCAAGGACGGGACACCGCAGAGGACAGATGCAGACACAGATTTTGGAGCCTTTCCCTGCCTCCTCCCAGTCATCAGAAGGAGGAGAGGACAGGGTTTCAAAGGGAAGGGAAGGGAAGGGAAAAAAGTCAGACAGAAAGCAGGGTGTGCTGGCCAGGTCTGTAATCACAGCACTCTCTAGAGGCAGAGGCTGGAGGAGTTCAAGGACAAACTGGACTCCATGAATAGACCTTTTCTAAAATTGAATAAATAATGTAAGACAGCGGAAAATGGGGAGCAGCTGGCATCCAGAGCTGGATTCCAGCTCATTTCTGAGTTGGGGTCCTTCCTAGAATCTGAGGCACATTTGTTTTTCCCACAGAGAGTGGAAACTGCACGTGCTCAGTCTGCAGAACGGGGATGAGAACATCTGGAAGATGGGGTGTGGACGCATAGCCCGCGCCTGCTCAGAGCTCCCTGGTGAGGTGCAAAGAAGCTGCCCTGGTTCTGGGATTCGAACGAGGCCCTTGAAGACACTGGCAGACCTTTGCATTCCAAGGACCGTGGACCGCTTAACGATTTCCAAGGCTGCCTCTTGCAATGGGTGAAGATGAGGAAACAGGTCGTCCAGCTGTGCTGCAGGAGGCTGCAGATTTTGTCAGATTCCACATACAAAATAGAGAAATTCCTGCGTGTTGTGTGCCTTGACAGCATCGAGGAGCTGGAGGTGGACAGTTTTTTTCATCAAGACACCATGAAAGTATTTGTTCCTTACCTGGGCAGGATGAGGAGTCTTCGGAAGTTTTCCTTTCATGGTATGAGTCCGGAGATATATACAACTGTATGGAAAAATAAGTGGTATCCCCGTATATATGCAGCTCATTTAAGAAAGCTGGACAATCTGCGGGAGATTTATATAAATGGCGTTGACTTCCTTAAAGGACAACTGCACAAGATCCTCAGGTGAGAGTTGGTACAGTGTTGGCCATGCACAGGGCTAAGCCATCCTGGGTTGCAGTACATCTAGAGGGGATTCTGCTGGGGGTCAGGTGCAGACAATGGAACAGTAAGGGATACAGTAGAAAGTGCATGTTCAGCGCCACTGTGCAGCCCTAAGGCCAGCCATACACACCTGTCCAGGGTGCAGTTGGAAATAGCCACCAGGTGGGATTTGCTGCTTTGAGATGAGACCTAGTCAGGGAAGTTTGATGTTTACCCCTTAGGAATGCTAAGTTAGGGAGGGGAACAGGAAGAGAAGAGGTCACTGAGGGAGAGGAGAAATCAGACCTGCTTGGTTCCCCAGATGAGCTCTTGCTCAGCAGGTGTGTAGACGACAGCCTGCCTCTAATTCCCTAAGTGTAAAAGACTGTTATGAGGCCTGGCAGGGGCTGAGTTGATAGAAATGTTGACTCCTGGTTTGAGGTAAAGCCTGGGAACAGGACAGAGTCTGTGCTGAGGGAGCTTCTTGGGAACAGGGATGGATGTTAGTCCTTCTCATGTATGTCCTGTGGACCCCTGTCCAGCTGTAGATCTGGGGACTGAGTCAGTCTCACAGTGATGCTGAGACCTAGAATATGCTAACCAGAGCAAAGAGTCTCCATGCACCATCCTGGGAGTAGACTGTAGGAAACCAGGATGCCAGGCCCTAGGGTGAGATGAGCTGCATTCTCTGCTAAAGGGAGGGGCACTGAAAACAGCAGCTCTGATAATCCCTGTCTTGCAGAACACTGTGAGACTGGCAGGAGAAAGTGGCCTGGTCATAAGTGCAGGAACCCTGCTCTGTGGGAAAGCATCTTGGTTCAACAACCCTTAGCTCATCTCCTTGTCCTGAACAAATAACTCAGCTATCCCTGGCTAAGAGATTAGGCCAGGTTAAAGGTTTACTCCTGATGCCTGAGCTAAAAGTTCACCATGCTTTTAGCTCTAATAAAGAAAACACTGTGGCCAATAAATTACCAGATGGGCATTGATAACCTTGAGTAAAAGTTTAAGAATCCTGGCGCCAACTAACAGACTAAATGTCCTGTTTCTTTGTACCCTAAATCTTTGTATGTGACTGCCATATCCCATGTGACTGTTAGTTCCTTGGGATGTATAAAAACCACCTGAATTTTAAAATAAAACGGCTTGTTGAAAAGACACAGGTCACAGGGTCCAAGACTCGCCAGTCAAGTCTCTCTGCCCTGAAGCCAGTAGGTTCCCCACTGAGCAAAGCAAACCTGAGTCCTGACAGTTGACCTATATCCTACCATTAGATCATTCCCTGTGTGCCCCATCATCACTGCCATATACCAGAAATCCCTCTGCTCTCTCCTCAGGAGTCACACTCCCTTGGAAACCCTCTGCTTGACATCCAGTCCACTTTTAGAATCAGACTTGAAGCATCTTTCTGAGTGTCCAAGCACAGGACAGCTGAAGCATCTGAACCTGAGCAACATTGACATGAGAAACTTCAGTCCTCAGCCCCTCCGGGCTCTGCTAGAGAAGGTGGCAGGCACTCTTGAGACCCTGGTCTTAGACCTATGTGGCATCAACGATTCCCATGTCGACCACATCCTGCCTGGCCTGGACTGCTGCTCACATCTCACTATGCTCAGTTGTTATGGGAACCACATGTCTATGTCTGGTCTATCAAACCTGATGTGCCACACTAAGGAACTGAGCCAGTTAAGTCATGTGTTGTATCCTGTACCTTTGATATTTGAGGAAGAATACTATGTTGACTTTTCCACGTTGAGGCAGGTAATGCTGTACCTAAGGCCACCATGTGAATCCCAGCTCTCTCTTAAGATTTATAGTGGTTTTTATTTGGCATATTATATATGGGATTATAACGGCCACTGGGAAATAATACATGTGAATGGTGATCATTTATTTCAATGGGCTCCATCAGGATGGGTCCCTTACCTGCCATCTGACTAAGGCAGAAAAATCTCAAGTCCAAGGCCAGCTTATGGAATCTAGAGAAATATGTCTCCATCCCTCCCCTCTAAGGGACAGTCAGAAATCAGAGTCACCAAGGATCTGTGTTCTCCATGGCTCCCTAACCTGGTTTTAGGCAGTAATCTCTTGTTGACTGCATGTTGCATACAATCACAGACTATCAGTTTATAACTATTAATATGCAATTTGGAGTGCAAAGGCTCTGGGCTCATCTCTTAGCAAGAAATGAAAGAATTAAATAGAACCTTTGAGAAATGCCAAAATAACTGGCTAGAAATGGAGGCGGGGCGGGGGGGGGGGGGAGG